CAGCAAATTTGTGAACAAGAAGATATGATGTAAATTGCATTCACCAGATTATCTGTCTCGTATTTAAACATCTCAAGAATCTCAAAGTTTCCATACAAGAGATCGGAAACTAGCTATTCAGATATAAATGCTTAACCTACAGCAACAAGAACCAGAAACATAAAAGAAAAAATAGTTTACTTGAACATCATTAAAATGATCAGGCAAACCATTGATAGTTAAATGTTGCCTCTGAGGTGTGGTTGTTTTCTTTGGCCTAAAGTGGTTGACATTTGTTCTCTCTTTTGATATTCCATAGGTGTTTTGTCTTGTATTCTCCAACATCATACTTCTAAGGCTATGAAGTCACATGAAGAGGATATAGCCTAGATGACTAAGAAGATCTAATCATCTTGATTCTGGAATGACAACACAAGGTGGGGGCTGCATGCAGAATCTGATTTTGGTGGTGGCTTTAAGACAGACCTTAGATAGAGTGCATGGTAGTAACTTTTGCTTGAGTTTCCTCCTGCAAAATCAGTTTCCAGAATTCCAGCTTCTTATCTCTTTTCAAGGGATTTTTGGGAGCTTTCTTTCTCTTTCTTTACCTTGTTTTAAGCTCTTAACCATCATCATGTGACGTAAAAAGTAATCAACCACGTAGCTGTGGCAAATCTCAGTCATCATAAATAATATATGCCCCTTTTTTTTCTACAGAGGAGCAGAATGGAACAATGGGATAATCCTAGCTACAGTAAAGGCTCACCAAAGAACTAAGGAAACAAAAAATCCAAAACAGAGGGGAAGAAACTTAACAATTTGGAAACCTGAATTTGAACCATTGAACTCTTTGAGCAATCCTATTCAATATTCCAATTAAACCAATCTGGAAACCGTATGAAATATTACAGCTTAAGACTCACAAATGGCAGCTTAAAACAAATTCAACCTAGATTCCACTCAATGCAACATAATGCACTTACAAAGAAAACTTTAAATGCATCACATCTTGCAGCCTAATGAATTCCCTTTCAAGCATACACTTGGGAAAATAAAATCTCTAAGCAAATAACCATCCCTCAATAAACAAAAAAATTCACAATTAAGCAAACTCGGAAACCATTAAAGCTACCAAAGTACCTCCAGGAATCAAATCACTGCACTCCTCTGCCGAACCCTAGCCTTCTCAGCATCAATAATAGACCCCACTAACCTCGCTGCATCATCAAGCTTCCCCTGCGCATTCACCACGACATAGTCAAAGTTCTTGACATGCCTCACCTCCTCCCTAGCAGTTGCAACCCTCACAAGCAACTCCTCCTTGCTCTCCGTCTTCCTTTCAATCAGCCTCTCCACCAGCGCCAGCTCGCTCTCTGCTACCAAAAATAAAAACACAGCGGAATCCTTAAGAATCTTCCTCAGCGTCTGTGCCCCTTGTATATCCACCCTCAAGACAATATCGTACCCCTTTGCCATGTACTCCCTAATCTGCTTCTTAGGTATTCCTTTGTACTCACCATAAACCAGAGCATACTCCAATAACTCATTCTTTTCCACCATTGATAAAAATTCCTCCTTTGACACAAAGAAGTAGTCTTTTCCATCTACCTCACCAGGCCGCATACCGCGGCTGGTGGCGGTGACAACAAAATGGAGATTTTCCCGCGCTTCCCTTAGTTTCCTGATGACTGCATCTTTACCCACTCCACTGGGACCGCTAATGACAATGATTAGAGGATTTGGGGAGGGGCAGATTGAGTCAGAACTGAAGGTGGTCCGCAGAGAGGACTCAAGGGCACGGAGTAATTCAGATTTTGAAGCTTTTTCGAGGGCAGGGATGGGATGAGATTTCTGGGCATCCGCCATTTTTGCTGCTGAAGTGAACAGCAATCTTGTGGAGAGATTTTGAGGTTTTGCGAGAAGGGATAAGAGCGTTGGGGGCTTGGGAAGGAATGGAAGAGAGAGGAAGGGTGTGGTGTGAGACAAGGAAGTGTACAGTCTGCGATACATGAGGTAAAAGGAAGGTTTAGTGGAGCATAAGGGATTGGAGATCCGGGGAAGGAGGAGGAAATAGGGAAAACAACAATTACGACACGAAGATGTTTCTCCTAGAGGAAACTTGCAAATGAGTTCTCGAACTTGTTTGTCATGAGCAAATAAGTATATAGTTTTTTTTTTTTGTAAAAGGCTACGAGGAGGACTATAATTGGATTTTAGGAAAATGTTAGTTCTTTTTTTTTTTTTTTGATATTAGCGAATTGTTTAGTTAAAGAATGTTTATTTCTTGATCAAAATACTAAAAAAGTAAAGGTAATATTAAGACACTAACCAAACATGTTAAGAAAGAAGTACTAATTAATAATCATATTTTGTCAACAGTTTAAATAGTTCAGTATTTATTTCTTTTTGTCGAAAGTAAGAGATACTGAATTCAAATCATATGGCATGCAGGTGGGGTGGGATAAGAGATGAAAGATGATTGTCTCCTATTGTGTAACCAAAATAAAATAAAAAAACTAATAATCATTTTTGAGTAAAAGTGATAATGCGTATTCTTTATTCATCTTTTAATTTAGTAGAAAATGATCAATACTATTTATCTATTCCTTGCTTGTCAAGATAGCTTATTAATTTTGCCTCATAAACTTATTATTATCGTTTTAAACATACATTATAAAAAAATGTGTCTCTAATGATTTAAGTAAACTACTAATGATTTCATTATATTAAAAGTAAAAAGCTCTTTGCCTTTGTGTTTAGAATTGAATTAAGTGAATAGGATCCTAATTTCCTCATTGAAATAAATTTCAAAGTGACTAAAACTCTTACTAATTTTGCTCATAATTGTGCACACTCACTTTGTAGTTTTATGTTCAATTATAGGTAGTTAATTATGTAGCAGATTGATGTTCATGTTCAATTCTAATATAAACTTTGGGAAGTTAATACTACAATTATTTTTTTTTCTGCCAAATTTAAGACATGTAACAATATTATTTTATTTTGTTTGAAAGAGAGCCTTGGTAAACTCTCCTATATGTTATTTTGCAATTGTAATTGAAAATTAGTTCCCTGCTATATATATACCTACCACGTATCAGCTCTATCATCGATGATATCTCTATTTATCAAATAAAAAAAGAATTAAGTGAATAGAAGTATTGACTTTGATATTGTTAAGAGTTGCATTGGCAATTTTCACAAGGCAGGTAAATAAGAAACGTTCTAGGTTCCAGTCACCTCACCAAACAGGCCACCCGGCTGCGTTTGGTGAGGAAGGAAAGTTTTTCTTTGACTTTCCCTCTTATAAATTTGGTTATTTACTTAATTTTACACCTTAATATTACACTGATTTTTAGTAGTTTTAATTTAATTCTTTAATTTTTTATTTTTTAAAAATAAAATTTAAATAAAAATTTAATAATTTATATAAATAATAATTAAAAAAATTTATATGAAGTTTTTATCTAATATTTTTACATATTAAAAAAATTTTCAATTATTATTTAAATAATTTGTTAAATTTTTATCTAAAATTCTTATATAATATATTTTTTTAATAATAAAATGACCAAAGTAGTAATAAAAGAATATAATAAAAAAAAGGTAAAATGGATATTTTAAGACTTTATTTTCTCCCCTCCTAATAAGTAAACTTTTCTTTCTTTTGAGAAAAAAAATCTTTCATTTTTTATGAGTAATGATAAGGAGGACGAAAATTTGAAATTAATAATATGATTTATATTATATTATTAATTAATATATATAATATTATGGATCTTAAAAAACAAAAAAAATTAATTATTAAATAATATATAATTCACTTTTTAATATTTTAAATGATATAACTTATATCGTATCATTAACCTTAAATTTTGGTTTTGAAATTTGATCCTATTTATTATTATTCATTTTTGTTATATGAAACCACTTGATAACTTTTCCATCAAGTTCTTTCCATATGTGTCAATTTCTTACCAAACGAACAAAAATTAAGGCCAAATGTGCAAATTACCCTCCAAAATTAAGGCGTTGAAACATATCACCGTAAAAAAATATTGATTCAATTTATCACCTCAATTTTTCATTTTCAAGAAATCAATCTAAATTTATCAATTTCAATTAAATTTTTATTAAACTATTGCACTTAAAATTTAATGAAAAATTAACAACAATAGTTAAATTTTGGTTGATTCCTTGAAAATGAAAATTTAGGAGGCAAATTGTATCAACATTTTGTTGTATCTATGATTTTGATGATTATAAAATACATTTGAGTAACTAATTGGTTCATTTAAGTATGTAGTTAAATTGTCAAAAGATTGTAAAATAAATAAACTTAAACTACATTAAAATGGACGAAAAGGCTGGAAATGTGCAGAGAGCCGACTTAAGAAAATTTGCAACTGGCTCTAGAGAGGTAAAATTGCAAAGAGCTAGCTCTAGAAGCTGTAGTTGGTTTTACTGGTGAAAATTTGAAGTCCATTGTTTAATGTGCGTGAGAAAACGGATGCTAAGCCGGCTTTAACTTTGTAGTCAGCTGTAGAGCCGGCTCTAGAGGTGTAAGCCAACTGTGCTGCCATTTCTACAACTCGAATTATGCGACCTGCAGAGTATTTAATAACCCCCAACGACTAGTAATGGCTATTTTCGACCATAGGGTTATAAATATGGTCGGTATGGGGTTATAAATATGGTTGATAGAAGATCTAGAACAAGTTTTAAAACATTGCATTGAATATCTTTACCTACCTACATGTGCTTTTACTTGAGTTTTTGATCTTTAAGAGATCTTTAAGAGATCTTTACTTATAATCATCTTCTTGTTCTATTTGTGAGTGATCTTGGGGGTGTGATTAATCCTTGAAAAGTGATTTATAGAAAGGATTCTTAGGGTTTATATTATAAAGGAGTGATGTTTTAGAGAAATGATCATTTTCTTGTAAAAGTATTGAGTGGTTCTTTTAAACCATCTTTGTTTTCTTAGTGGAGAGTGTGGAGGAAATCCTTAGTAAGTGAAGCCAAAGTAGAAGACTAGTTTTCAAGTAGTTGGACAATACCTCTGTAAAATCATTAAACAAGCTCTTCTTTTCTACACTCTTTAATTTTGGTTTTGTGGTTGCAAAAGAAGAGAATTTTTGGAACTCCAATTCACCTCCCCTCTTGGATTACATTGAGTTAACACATTTTTTGAATGACAATTTGCTTCAATGTGACAATTTTGAGAGAGAATCTACACAGTTTGTCAAAAAATTAATATTCTAATGAAACTAACAAAATTTTATTACAAAACTTATAAATTTTTCATAAAATAGTACTATATTTGTTCCAAAATAACTGTAATTTTTTTAGTTTATGTTTGTCTAAATTAATTATCATTTTTTTCATTTTTTAGAGTAAACAAAAAAAATTTTTTTACTGTAACTCTATCATTGTTTATTTACTTTAATTAATTATTTTACTAAAAAAGTCTCAATTTATTTTTTAGTTTTTTTATAAGGGTAATACAAGCCAATATATAAATTATCTCACAGTCTTAATTTTTAAAAAAATATTAAAAAATGATCATTATTTTGAGAGAGAGGAAGTATATTCCAATAAAATTCACCACAAACTAAACAGCCCATAAATTATCGACAACCCTACGTTAAGCACTTGAATTTATCTTAAATTCTTGATTAAATTCTTAAATTTTTATTAAAGCAAACAAACTCTTAAATTTTGTGATTTGAGTAATTTAACCTCTTTTATTTATGGTAAACTTAGCAATTGTTTGTGTACATAAGATATTAACATGTAATTGCTTATATGATAGGTATTAACCTTGTTTAGGCAAATAAGGCACAAACATACATTAAGTTTAAATTGCTTAAATCAAGAACTTTAAGAGCTTATTTATTTCAATAAAAGTTTATAGACTTAATTAAAAATTTGAGATAAGTTTAGAGCCTTAACATGAGGTTTTGCCTAGATTAACCTTTGCCAGTAAAAACTTTTCGAGCAAGTAGACTATTTTTCTTCCAGAATGTTCTGCACTTCTTTATTTTGGCCTATAAATAAAGGCCTCAGCTTTCCACCCTTTATATTTTCTTCGCCACCTTAGCCACCGCCAACACCACCGTTATCCACCATCCATTTCCCATCGTACGACTTGATTATCAGTATTGTCCCAGGAAAAGATTACCCTATTGCCGAATTTCATCTCGTATCCCCAATCGCTATTTTTCATCATCTAATTTCCTTCTCCATACCGGGATTAAACCCTAATTCTTCGTGGAAATCGCCTTCTTCAGGTAATCCGGCAATTCAGCCAAGGCCGGTTTCAATCTCTAGGCCGTCGACGATACCTTGTTCTGCAGAATATCAAAATCAGCCTTCAAAACGCAGAATATTAAAATCAGCCTTCAAAACGAGATCTCAGTTCCTGATTCGCAATTTACAGTACGTATCATCATTCCAACCATTACCGTTCTTAACAACCCAATTCTTTAATCTCTGAACGCCGATTTCATGTTCCCTGTAGGAATTTGCGTTACTGGGACTTAATTTGCTGATCCATCCAATTAATCTCCAAGCAAAACAAAAATACCCGTAATTCCGATATCCCTGTTGTTGATGGGCACAATTAGTGTTACCAGAGAGCTATCCAAGCCCTCTACTTTCTCCTCGCAAAACCCACCCGTAACAACCTCAATGTCTCGCACTGAAACCGTAAATGGATGGCATGAATTCAAGATCAGTGGGTTCTCGCTTGCCAAGGGAATAGGGATCGGCAAATTCATAGCGTCGGATTCGTTTGTGGTGGGCGGCTACTCGTGGGCCATCTATTTCTACCCCGACGGCAAGAGCGTTGAGGACAACGCAGCGTACGTGTCTCTCTTCATTGCACTTGCGAGCGAGGGCACCGATGTCCGGGCACTTTTCGAGCTGACACTTTTGGATCAGAGCGGCAAGGACAACCACAAGGTGCATAGCCACTTCGGGAGAGCGCTCGAGAGCGGACCCTACTCACTTAAGTATCGAGGCAGTATGTGGTGAGTTTTAGTGCTCTTGTTGTTAGCGTTTATGAATTATGGATTTGGCTGTTTGAAGCTATAAATGTAAAATATAAAGAGATGATTTTTGTTGAATGCTGGAAATTGAGTTGAATTTGGATTATTGTTTACTGTGTTTAAGTGCAGGAATTGCTGGAAGTGAACTCTTAGAATAACTTAAGTTCGACACTGTAACATAAATTAACCCTTAAGTGCAGGAATTGATTACTAAGAACCACTTAAAAGACATTGTGGGACTGATAAAATTTTGTAAGCAGATTACTTTGTTTTTTCATGTTGTGAATGTGATAGTACACTTGAGCTAAAAACAGTACATGATGTGTGAGTGTGTGACTTCTGTTTGCAGGGGTTATAAACGCTTTTTTAAAAGAACTCTTCTAGAGACATCAGACTTCCTTAAAGATGATTGTCTCTCCATTTCCTGCTGTGTTGGTGTAGTTAAGTCACAAACAGAGGGACCCAAAATCTATTCTATTGCAGTGCCACCTTCTGATATTGCACAGCATTTTGGGAGGCTTTTAGAAAGTGGAAAGAGCACTGATGTGAATTTCGAAGTCAATGGGGAAATATTTGCTGCCCACAAATTGGTTCTTGCTGCGCGTTCACCTGTGTTCAGGGCCCAACTTTTCGGGCCTCTAAAGAATAAGAACACCCAATGCATAAAGGTGGAAGATATAGAAGCTCCTGCGTTTAAGGTTCTCTCTCTTTCTCTAGCTGCCCATGCAATTGCCAACCTTTTTTGTGCCTATTCTTTTTTCCCTGCCCAAGTCCATTGCTTCTAATTTCACTGCAAACTGGTTCCAGTTTTAAGCACAAAACATATCATTGGGAAATAGTCATAATTGTTGGATGTTCATTTGATTCTTTTTAATTTTTTTCTTAATGAATTCTGCTTGCGTGTTGTGCTTATGGGTCATGATGTCTCTTTACCTAGATGTATCATGGTAGCAGATGTCTCTTGCTCTGGTTCACAATTTTTTTTATTACGTTGGACTATGGGCTATGTGAATTGGTAGCCTCTCTTATATTAGAAACTCTTGCCACTACATGTCAAGAATTTGAAATTGAGATCTGAAAGTTGAAAATCTCATGTTCAACTGTTGAGAAAGAAGAGAAGTTATTAGTAGTGGAAGAAGGGAGATAATAAGATTATTTCACATACTTATTCCAATTTTTAACTTCATTTTTTCAAGTTATGATTCTTGTACTCACACAACTTTTTGCAACCGGGGCTATTCATGGTAAAGTGCCCTCTGTGGTTTACTTGTTGGAGTGTCACTTCAATGGTGATCATCTAGTTGCCATCACAAACTGGTAATTGTAAAGGTTGAGTTCATCGGATTCATAATTACTTGTGGCCTGTGGACTGATTTGGCATTTTTATTGAACAATTGTTTTGCATTCTCCTTAGAATAAAATGAATTTTCTGGTCACACAATTAGTATAGTCTGCTAATAAATAGTAAGGGGTTTTGTTGTTGCCATTGCTAATAAATAGTAAAATGAATTTGCTTGTTGAATTTGCTAGTCACACAATTATATTTACGCTAGATCTTTGCATTGCAGTTGCAAGTGTGAGTTATGATCAGGACCTTAGGAATGCTTATGTTCTTATTGATCTTCAAGTACTCTTTGCTAATGCTGTTGCTTAGGATTATGTGATCACTTACATTTGCCATGAGTTTTTTAATACATGGTATTATGACCATTTATAGGAAAAGGTACTTTTTGTTGTTTGGTTGCCTATGTTGGGTGAGTGATTTTGGTGCCATACAGGATGGTTTATATACGAATATACATTTGGAATCATCTCCTATGGCGTTGCTCCTGTACACAAATCTTACTCACCCGAGCTAAGGTTTTCTAT